TTTGGAGGAAAGGAAAACTAGAATAGAAAGTAACGCTGCTGCCGTGCTGCCTGGGGAAGTGTCACAGGAGGTGAGAACAAGGCAGATGGTCCTGGGATTAAAAAAGGAGGGGGAAGCAGGAGGCCCAGTGAGGCATGGAACATATGTCCCCTGCCCAAAGGGTAGATCACAGTTCAGATGAGAGCTCTGCATGGAAAGAGAAAGCTCATCCCAGGACTGCAAGCTGGAGAAAGTTACATGACTCAAATCCTGCTTCCTGGTCATCCTGCTCACCTTCTCCAGCAGCCCTTTCTGTGCCTGCCTCTCCCTTTTCACCTGCCCTGTTGTCCAGTGTGTGACATGCACAGAGCCTGGCTTATTCCCTAGGCTAGCTCAGCTGGTCCCTGCCCTCCTTCTCTGCCCCAGATCCCAGCTGGGAAGCCCTGGGCAGTAGTTGGCAGATGCCCATACTGATCCTGATGTGAGGTAGCTCCTCACACACCAGCTCCTCTCTCCCCACAGCTCCTCTCTGCACCTTCCCACTCCCAGCAGAAGGTCAAGGGGAGCAGCAGCCATGCTGCTCAGCCTCAGGCTTTGGGATGGCTCCTTCACCTGGGTCCCTGCTGGTTTTGGGGAGAGAGCAGCTCCCCCTCTTCAAGGAGGAGAAATTCCAGTGAGGGGACAGTAGGTTTGTATCCTCACCTGGCTTGGGGTTGTTTGCCTTTGCTCTGCCAGGAGAACAGAGAAAGGGTGAGAAATTATGCTCCATTTCTCACTTTCATTTCCATCCTCCCCTCCAAAGGGGAGCTGGGAGGCAGTCAGGGTGTTGACCTTTTTCTGGTCTTTCAGGACAGACATGTCAGAGTTGCTTTCCTTCTTGGTGCTTGGAGCCCAGCTATGGCAAATCAACCCTAGCTGCACTGGGACAGCATCTTCACCCTCTGCCTGCAAAGCTGCAGCTCTTCCACCTCCAGCAGCAGAGCAGAGAGGAATTTCAGTTTGGGGTGAGTATCAGAGGCCCCTCGAGCAGCTGCTCTGGCAACCTTCTGCAAGGGTAAAGGCTCAAGCTGCACCCCTGAGGGAGGGACACATTCCCATGGCCTCTGCTGATCCGTGGCTCAAGGCAGCAGCCAGGCTGCAAGGATGGGAAAAGGTGCTTCCATAACCTCCCACCTGCAGGGAGGGAAGGAGCACTTTGTTGGGGGAGAGGCTGAGAAGGCTGGATTTGGCATCCATCCCCTGAGATGAAGGTGGGAAAGGAGGCCAGGAGGCCACTTTATTGGCACAGGACCTCTGACTGTCCTCTCCTTCAATTAACTCTCATACTTCTTTCCACAACATGAGATAGGATTGCCCAGCAGGGTTATTTCACAAGCTTGATAGCTACTAGAAACTGATCTTATCCAAAAGCCTAAGGTCAGACCTCTTACATTATCACTTACAGAAGATGAACAAGCCCCTCCATCCCTCTGGGACCAAGGTGACCATCAGCCAGTTTGGGGATCAGGAGATGACATCGCGCTGCACAGCCAGCGCCTACAAGGAGCGTTGGTGGAGCACCTTGCCCACCCAACTCAGCTCTGCTCCTGCCTATTGCCTGTACCACACCCCATGGGACACTACGGTTTGAAAGACAAACCTCATGTTTCTTCAGCCTTTTGCAAGGCAGCAGCATGGCTGAGGAGATGGTGCCAGGATGGAGAAAAGAGCTGATGGGTAACACAGTCCCAGCTGGGGTTTCTCTCCACATCAGAGCCTGAAGATTTGTTGCAGAATAAGGATGAAATCAGTATATTTTCTTCATAGCATCATTTTGGCAAGCAGCCCAAGAAAGTAATTTGAACTGGCCATGGTTTCCTGCATGACCTTTTACAGACTCACAGTTTTATTTTAGAAATTAAATGATCTAGCTGGCTCCAGCACTGCCTGTGCCAGAAGCAAGACAGCTTCCCTCTGGACTGGCGAACACCCAGATGAGATACAAGCAGGTCTCGTCTACTTTACTAGAAAGGCCAAGTTTGGGCAGCAAGTGCTGCTGATGTCATGTGGATTAAGACTGGGATAGAAGATTTGTATCTTCTATTCAACCAACCATTGCTCTTTGGGGTGTCTCCTCAGCCTGCAGAACTGGAAAGCTCTGCAGGACCACAGCACAACTGCAGACCTGCTCAGATCATGGGGCTACACTTCCCTCCCAGTCCTTCAGCGCCGGCTCTGCAGCACATCACCAAGCAAAACCAATCCCTTTGAACACCCAAGCAGCATAAACTGCATCTCTCCAATCAAGGAGGTCACGGCAGCGTCCTTACAGAGCACAGCTCAGCCCATCAGCCCTCTTGTCTCATCCCCCTTTAAGAAGAATGGGGGAAAACACTTCATCCTGTGTGAGTCGCTGGTAGAGGTGTCTATGAAAGAAGAACCACGAAAGGCTGATACTTCCTGTTGTTTCTTAGGTCTCGCTGTCAGCTCATTTTCCAGAACTGAAACATTCTCTACAGCATAAAAACCCCAAATTTGAATGCTCCATGACACACACATTCAGAAAAATTGCTGACTTTTCAAGGAGGCATCAAGCAGAATTCATGACTGTACAAGTATCGCTCGTTGCGACACATCAGGAACAAACATGAGACATCACAAAAACGATGGTGACTATCAAAAAAAGAGGCATCAATACCAAAGTAAGTATTGCCCTGATGAGACTCTCATTGCATGGGACTACTCTGTGCTCGTAGTATTTTCTTGTCCACCTGACAGAAGTAGTTTTGGTGCAAATTCACCCAACACAGGTAAATTCAGCTCTTTTTATTTAGTTTGAGCACGTAAGAGAGAAACATTTAGTTGGAAAGTGTCTAGTAACCCAGAGGAGGTCTCTGGGAGGGTTTTTCAGAGATATGACAGAAGCTCACCAAGCCTCAGCCATGGGGAAGGGGCACCTCTAAAGCATTTGCAGCTCTAATCAGTGGCAGGAGGGTCCTACAAGGAGCCCATCCTCCTCCTCAGGTGCCAGTAACCCTTTGTCTCCTCCAGGAAGGATCAGTGCTCCCATAGCCACAGAGGCTGATAAATCTCTGGCCATGCTGGACAGGTGGAGCAGGGGGCTGTGCTCACCCACCCCAACCCAAGCCTACCAGCACTCAGGTGGCAGCCAGCACATCCTGGGGATTGGTGTGAAGCCTCCTTCATCCATGTCTCCATGACTCAGGGACCAAAGTGTTTTTCTTACCTCCTTTGTACCCAAGTGAGATCCAGATACTGAAGTACCAGCAGAGGTGTCAACTAAGGTCCTCTCCACCCACTCTTTCCTTTATTCATTCACTACAGGGGTATAGCGTATGTTACAAAATAAACCATGAAATATTTACCCAAAGCAACTTTAAATAGCAAAAGTTAGCTGCAGAAAGCTAAGATGAGAGCAAGTGATGTTCTCAGGGCTGGGTCTGCCATTGGAGTTCAAGCAAAGTGACTGAGCTCTGGAGGAGGCAGAGACCTCCTTCTCCCTGACAGGTTAGTTCCCTGCCTTTGTACCAGAAGATAAAAATAGTCACATTTCTGAGGAGAAACAATGGATGGCTGCTTTATCTCCCCTGGTTTGTGTAGGATAGTCCAGCCTGAAAGAGGTACTACAGGTTCTTCTGCCTAACACAAGATGCTAGCTGGATGTCTCAAGCTCTGTGGCTCTCTCAGTTCTCTCCTCCTCCACCTGAGCTGTCTCTTACATTGATGGGCCAGTGTACCCGTTCAGACATTGCTCTAAAAAGGCCTGACCTCGCTCAGCTCCTCAGCTGTCCTGTAGAGGTAGTTATGAACATCTCCAAGGACCAAAGGAGCGAGCAGTGTTTGTCCAGCACATGGAGGGTGATGCAGGTGCAGTTATTGCAGTCCAACCTCCCAGCAGTTCTCTATCATCACCTGGTTACACATGAGGTGCTTACCAGCAAAATCAAAGGACATGGACCCACACCATCAGCAGGAGGCCCTACAATGGAAAGCCAAGACCATTCAGACAATGACACTAGTAATCAGACTGCTTGGTAGTTTGTAACACTTCTTTCATGAGTCAATGGATACTAGACCTCTTCTATGCCCCCAAAAAATTGTCTGGATAACCAAACAGACATGTGCTGAGAATAAAGCTTCATTTTAGTTGCCAGCAAGAAGTCACAGAAAACTGAGCTGAAACAGTCCTTGGAGAGGCCATGTAACACATTCCCATTCCCCTGGCCCTCAGCAAGGTGAGGATGCTTCACAGATGGTTGCCTCATCCACTCCTTGAAAGATCCTAGAGATCCTCTCCTAGAAATCTCTTTCAGTGCTTTGTTTGAAAAACAAAACATAAACCTAGCTCTCTCTTGCTGCAGTTTAAGCCTGTGGTTTCTTGTTCTAAACACAGAAGAAAAGGTGAAAAGTTTATTCCTTTCCCACTTGCATTTTTCCCACACAGATGCTTCAAGGTTCTCACATCTCCTTCTGTTTTTTTCTTCTGTGCATATTAGATGACATACATTCTTTCAGCTTCAAACAAGCATTTAATTACATACAACTGTTTTGTGATCCAGGAGGTCATGCATTTGATGCTGAAGCCAGAAGGCCGTCCTAATGTGTAGCAGGAGAAAGGAAAGAAACATGACAAAACTCTGTGAGATCCTTAGGCTCATGTTGTCTCACTAGAGCTTTAGCTTCCTCTTGATATAATCCAACCAAAAAGCAGGAAGACAACAAGGTGAGGTAAAAACAAGCGCACCACAGAAAGACACAAGTTTCAAGGCTCAATGCTCCATACCCTAACATGGAGACACTCGAAGAAAAATGGCCACAGGGATGAATGCCCATCACCTTGAATCTCCTCCACTAGGTCTCTTCATCTCCATTTGATGCTCTAATTTTCTGCAATGAAAGCTGCCGTTTCATAGCTGAGCGTTACGCAAGGCTGGGCGGGAAGGGTTCCTAATTATTGGAAACTTTCTTTCTCCCAGTGAACGGTGGAGCAGAGAGACCACCATCCTTCCCAGGGTAGACGTTCAAGGTCTTTCTCTTGGGTGGTTTGGAGTCCGCTGCTGAGTGCGGGGCCTGGGTCGCGGGGGCACAGCTTGTTGCTGGGGCTGCGGCAGCGGCCGCTGCTGGACGCGCAGCTGCTTTGGGGTGGGATTGGACGGTGGCTGGGGCAGCTGCCTCACCACCATTTCCCTGTCCCCCTGGCGAGCCTGCATCATCCGCTCCTCGTCTGCAACGACAGAAGGATCCCGCAATCAGGAACATACTAAGCAGAAGTCAAACAGGTAGGGAAGAGTGCTTGGCCCAAGCAAGAAAAAGCCAAATATTGGTCTTAGTTGGAAGGTGACTGTCACTCTAAGGTGTTCCCACTACTCCATTGAACAACCAAAACCACCTGCACATCCCAGGCAAACCCAAAAGATTGTTGGCTGCCTGGCTGAGGTCAAGGTACATGGGGGTGTTTGGGGCAGCTCTGCCTTCTCTGTGTTGGGGTAACTGATTTTGCCAGGGAGGTCCCAGCAGTCACCGATGGACATCCCCAGCCTGAGCTGCTCTGTCTTCTTTTGGAAATGGGACACTGAAGGAAAAGTGAGATGTAACCCCAGGAAGCAACACCAAAGCACTCTGCCCTGCCACTGTCCGTGCTGGGATTTCCAGGCACTTGGAAGCCAGAGGTCCATTTTGCCAGCATTAATTTCCCCATATATAGAAGAATTAAATTCATGCCAGTTGACTTTTGATCACTGACTCATCGTTTCTGAAATGTCAGTCAGTTTATCTGAGGGATTGAGAGATTGACCTCTTGGGACACCGAAATGTCCTTAAGCACATACCAAACTGTTTCAAAGAGGCTGGTCACCCTCTTATATTAGTTCTCATTTTCCCAGATTTCTTTTTTCTTCATTTTTGCTGAATCCAAACCCAAGAATTGCGATGTGCTATCACTGCACATTTGAGGGAGTAATGTGTCCCACTCAAACAAGAACAGCCATCATGTAAAATGACACTCAGATGGCTATGCTCACACCAGTGTTGTGCTCACAAGCCTTCTGAGGTGACATCCTGTGGTTGCACTATGGTGAGCTCTCCCAGCAAATGAGGTGTCCAGCTAAAAACCAGGACATGAGGAAAGCGCTTGCCTCTTCTCCATGGTCATAACTTGAGGGGAAGGAGGAGAGCCATGGTGAATTACCCACACTCAGGTGCCGTGAGGTTGTACTCCCCATTGCCATGGGTCATGCTCACCCTTGTTGTCAGCCTGATCACTGGCATCTTTGAGGTACTAGCTGAGGTTTCCTTCAGGCATTGCTCTCTTTATCTTGACAAAGACTACTGTGGGGTACAAAGGAACTTTTACTCCCATTTTGTAGCTGACTCACACAGAGACTAGCTGTTATTGGAGACCACACAGGAAGCCTGACACAGTGTGTGGGGGTAGGACTCAGAAACAAGCTTTTCAACAAGCCCTACCCTCCCTTCACCCTTCCAGGTGGGCCAGACAACTCTTCTTTAAGTGGCAGCTCAGGATCCTCTGTCCACCCAAACTAGCAGCAACACCCAGGTTGTAGTTCAAGGCAACCTCTGTGTCAAGACTGAGAGCCCACTTCCAAATAAGACTCTGGTAGAGCATATCCTATGGTCTTAGAGAAGCATGAATTTTGGAAAACAGGTGAAATCTCTGCCCACCCTGAAAACCTCAGCTCTTTAAAGCTCACCAAGATAGACCTCCTGTGTTGATAGGTCTCCAAGGGCATTGTTTTGTAGACAGGAAAAATTCTGTGAGATACTCATGGAAACTCATGGAAGAGCTGAGACCTTCTTACCCCTTCTCACTATCTGCAATGTTTCCACATGTGACTAATGATTTCAAGGATCCTAATTTTACATCATACAAATTTAATGAAAAAAAATCTGCTGACGGGATATCTAATTGTATATTTTAGCCCTGTAGATACGCATGACTGGTAGCCTTGGCCAATCTTTAGAGGAGCAACTCTTCCCCCACGAATAAACAAAAGGCCTTAAGAATTAGAATTCTTTTGTTCAAAGCATATATCAGAAAGAGATTCACCATATGCCAAAACCAGGTTATTGCTCATGCCAAGGCAAGGAGCTTGTTCCTGCTCACAGGGCTGCTGGCAGCAGGAAGAACTAAGTTTTTAGGTGGCTGGATAGCAACATAAAACCCCTTAAATACTTACCATCATCTTCAAGCCTTTCTGCTTTCTTCTTCCTGACACAATAAATAAGCAAAACCATGAAGATGACAAGGAAGATTGCACCTCCTGCTATACTTAAGATGAGATAAATGTCCAGGCGGCCTAGTTAAGGGAATTAAAGAGGATGTTAGAGGGAAAGAAATAACTTGCACAACATCTACCTAGAATTCTGTATTTTCTTCCATTGACAGTCAAGGCAGCCCCAGTGAGAGAGCTCACCCTCTGCCTTTTCTCTGTAAGCAGCAGAAAGTTGCTGGTCCTCATTGTGGAGAATTTTGATTGCTCCCTGATGGATTCAAGTTCTGCAGACAATTGAAACCAGAGCATTTGTGTGTGCCAGCTCATCTTATTTAAATTACCACAAATGGCCTGTTCTTGCTAGCGACGGACCCTTTTAAGGACAACGAGCATCCAGGCAGTGCTCAGCATCTAGCAAAAATAAACTTTTTAAGTACTTGCTACTGAGCTGGAAACACTGAGACTAACTTGCTTCATCGTATTTTGGTACTTCCTCTTCAATTTTTGGCTGTACACAAATTTAAAAAATACTGAAAGAACATAAGCAAATATCCCCCGGTCTCAAAACAAGAGTTCAGTTTGCCCAGTGAGCAAAGACTTATATGAGTATCCTTATTTTCACCAGCTAAGGTTTGCTGGATGCTGGCTTTCCCTTGCCAACTCCTGCTTGGGCTGTCCTCCTGACATTCAGTGTTTATGCTCAAGCATAAGTGCCATGGAGCTGAACCCAACAGAAGCACACCTTCCTTGGCTTCCAAAGGGGATGACACCACTGGTACCACCCTTAACAATCACTGAACATGTACATGGAGGGCAAAGAGTGGTGACACCAAAGCTGAGATGTCTACAGGATAAAGGCCACCATCAGCTTGGGCTGCCTCAGTGGACAGAAAGACAAGTACCCTCAATAATGTGGTGGTTCTCACCTGTTTTAGCTTCCGGTGTTACACTGAGGTGTATTTTGCCCTTTCCATGCCCGTTTTTCCCCAGCTGACTCTAAGGTGAGCTCAGGCAGGTTCACACATAGTTACACTTAATATGAAAAGTCAGTTGAGGTGAAGGCCATCTGCTAAAGATCAGAATTCAAGGTGATCTGCCTTGGATGCAAGACCAGATGTTCACGGAGGGCAGCATGGTTGGAAGGAGGTTTGACTGCAAACTGAGGGATTTTTTAATCTACTATGGAGCTGCCAGAGTCCTGCCACCACATAGAAAGGTTTGAGTGGTTTTGAGTTTGAGTAGGAAGGGTTGTGCTACATATTTTTAGTGGGTTTTGGTGTCTGAAAAATGCTACATTTGTACCTTAACATCAGCATGGCAAACTTTTTATTTCTCTCATAATGATTTGAGGAAAATAAAATTTAAAAAACCCCAACTCTGCCACCTAAGTCGCTCTGTGAAAGAGCATTTCTCAAGTGAGAAGTGAAATCAAAGCATCTAGCTGACAGCTCATGTCTGCCTATACCAGTAACACAGGCAGGCCATGTTTGGGCTAGTTTGCACAGCCTTAAATGGACCTAATCCAGCAGCATGTTTTCATACCTAGCTCAGAAGTCCATGCTACATCCCACTCCCCCCACACCCCAGCCCCTTCCCAGTGCTAGCACCAACACCACAGAAAACAACCCTTTTTTGGCTATTTTAGGCATCAGGAAGGTCCTTCAGGAGGCAAGGGCTGCATAGGAGAGCAGAGGCCACCTCATCCCTCAGCTCTTTGTCCTTCAGTCAGCCTCAGCGGACCTTGGATTGCTTCAGCAAGGTCTCTAAACCTTAAGGCTTGCTCCTTCCCTTCTCACACCATGGACTGGCCTTTGGATTTGGACTTTCCCTAAATTCGCTATGGCAGAAATAGCTGGAAATTGGAAACAGTGAGCCAGCTCTTGCAAGCCCCTCA